ACCTAGGATCACTTACCTGCCTTTGTCATCTCTGCAACTGACGATACTGGAATCTATGGCCCCAAGTAGCAATGATGCACAATTCTCATGATCATTTATTCTAAAACAAAAATGAATTTTAATGTAAAAATCTTGCTTTTAAAAAAATTATATCCTCTTCTACCCCACCTTCCTGTGCACTGTGTATTTAACAATCTGATGATGCATTTTAAAAAATCTGATGCAAATATTTGTGGTACACATTTCAATGGCCTACACTGTATAACCCCTATACAACCAGGTAGGAGTTTATTGCACACCACTGTACAAAGCACCATATTTGGTGTTTTGCAGATACCAAAATGGAATAGACACGATTACTTCAGATTTAAAATTACTGACTGTTTGTCACTTACATTTTCTTTATTGCTCTATTTTATGCCTCCAATATCCTTCCAATCAAATCACCCAGCTTCGTGTGAAGCCCAGAGACAATGTAGAGACAGCATCCTCAGGTCTAGGGCCCCAGGCTGACCATGGATGCCCAGTGGAACATGGACCCCCAGTCTGTGATTTAAAGTCACTATCCTCTGACAATGGCTCACACTGTGAGCCTGGAGCACAAATTGCATTTACTATAAAAGGACTCACAATATAAGAAAAATGGAGAATTACAATATATGAAAAGTCTTTCTGGTATAAAATGTCTTTCTAACCATTCACGGGCATGCTATTGTTAACCCTTATTTATTTTTAGAATTTGGCAAACAAACGTGAGTTATACCGCAAGAGTTCTTCATATCATGTATGTTGTGCCTCTCAGCCCACCCCTTCATGCAGTTTTCACATGCATATCGTATGTGAGCACTCCCGAAAAAGCTCCTGGAAAATCATTAGCATTAGGGACCACACTTTGCTATCAGACCTATTTGTCTTTAGGAGCAAAATGGAATATTTTACTCTTATCTGTAATCTAAAAGCTTTTACCTTCCCTAAAAGGCAATTTCTCCATGTATAGTTAAAAGAATTAAAGTAATGCCATTAACTTCCAGCATTTCTACTTACATTGCACAGTGCAGTGGAGTAAAGGGATTGCCAACAAATTTGCGAAAACATTTTTGCTCCAAAAGTACCTCTATACAGTTTTCGTTACCTGGAAGGAATCAAAAGAATTTAAAGTTTCCAAGAAAGAAACTGTTCAACACAATCTGTTTTTTTCATTAAGTACTGAATTCTGGCTTATGAACTTTCCTGAATTGGCTGAATATTCATTCTTCATGGAATAAAATTAGCAACACACCAAAATGTTATTAACTGTGTTCTCAGGTGTTCTGAGACATAATGAACAAATAAAATTGTGAAGGCCATATGGTCTGGTGGAGAGAGAGAGGTAAGACACCTCATTTGTAAGCAGAATAGATTCTATGTTACTTTCAGCTCTTGAGAGATAGGTGCCTAACACAGGCACGCCTCAATTTGCCCATAATTTTAACAGGAGATTTACCCTTCACCCACATGAATAGGTTTACCTACAGTTATACACTCTAGTGAAGGGCAGAAGATTAGTAGAAAACAGCACTTGAGATAAGGCATGGGGAAAGGCTTTCACTGTAAAATACAATGTAAACATTTTAAATGGCACCAAGAACAGTTCCTGGTACATCATGGGCACACAATAAATATTTTTTAAATAAGTAGATAAATTAATGTGAAGAATTATTTTCAACAAAATGACAGGTGGTTTCCAAATCAACTGAATTTGAGTTAAGTAAGGTCGTAGCTGTCAGTTCGCTTACGTGATGGAAAGGTGGTTCTACTAATAACTTACCAGAGGAAAATAAACTATCAAACAGAAAGTAAGGGAAATAAAAGCAAACACATAATTGCCCCCTTTGAAGAGAAAACTCACAACACAACTACCCCCTTTCTTTTTTTTTTTTTTTTTAAATTTTTATTTCAGCATGTTATGGGGGTACAGATGATTAGGTTACGTATGATGCCCTTACCCTCCCTCCCCCCCAAGTCCGAGCTTCAAGTGTGTACTCCCTTTCTTTTGTTTAACTAAAACACCTGTGACCTAACTCCCTCTCTCTAAGAGTTTCGTTTTCGCAGCCTTGAAAAGCCCTAAGTGGATAGGAGGGGTATGAGCTCCCCACTCCAACTCTCTGCCTCAGTTCCTGCGAGAAACACATTTCAAGGACTCAAATAAGCTGGCTTCACAGAGAAAACGGGAGGAAAAATGGAAAAAGCAAACACTGTCGCTTTGCAGCTTCTGTTATGGGTCTGCTAAAGCAGAGAGAGAGAAAAGCCGTCTTTACCCTTTGAAACCACTCAGCCACTTTGCCTCAACTGCCCAGTGCTTTCTTTCTCCTTCTGTGTGCTGTGGCCATTTCCTCCTTCTCTCTCTCTTTCTAGCTCTCTCTTTCTTTCCCGAGAAAGAAAAATAAGCTTTCTTTCCTAAAACTGTTCTACTCCTGCTGTGAGATTCTTTCTCCAACCAGTTGAGAGCACCTAGTAAATTTCACATCCTAATAGTGACCTAAGGCAATTTACTTGGGATCTCTGAGCCTCAATTTTCCCACATACATAAAATCAGACTGGGAATACCTGTCCTACCTGTGTCACAGGATGGTGGGAACTTTACTTAATAAAGAACCTCAGTGTGCTTTGTGAAGTGATATATATTCTGCTGACTATAGTACTTACCAGTTTGAGCATCTGGTATTGTCTCCTGGGAAAAAAGCTGATTGCTCCCCAGCCTTGCTAAGCTTTCCCTCATTACAAACCGAGTATAAAAGCTCTGTGTGTTTCCCAATTACAAGGCGGGAAGGTGTTGCTACTTGGCTTTGGAATACAGATTGCCCTGAAACCTCTTCTTGGCTGAACTCAGTGCTAAATTAGTGAAAGTTCCCTTATGATCTACCTCAGAATGATGTAGCTTGGACAATCTGAAGTATTAAAATACAAATCAAACTTTTCTTGTACCTAAAAAGAGAAAAGGTGATATTGTTTTTAGGAGGATTAAAAAGCATATGAAGTAATAAACATAAAAAGCCCCTAGCTTTAGGCAAGTTATACTGTTTAGCTTTCCAGCTGCATCCAATTCTCACCCAAATAGTCCCAGACACCTCAACTCCTCTGTTAGTACAAATCCCCCAAAGCCTAGCTTAGGGTAGCACCTACACATACCATCCCTTAAGTGGGGACTATCTGAATCCCAACCTAAGAGTCTGTGTAGGTAGGACTGGAGATTATTGAACTACGTTCACTATTTCAAAATGCCCAGTGAAGGGGACTCTGGAAAGATGGGAGCTTGAACCTCAGACCTGGAGGAAGGCTACATTGAAAGGGTGAATTGCTTAGGAGAGGGCTATTCCTCCTTTCCTGCTTGTACCTGGAGGGAGACCTCCCACCCCGACTCTGGGGAGAGGATGTGGTCTGCAGCAGGTTTGCTGCTTGCCATTATAATTGGCACTCTTGCTACCTCTGTCCCTGCTTGCAGGTTCTCCAGTGCCAGAGAGGTCCCACAGCTTGACCCCAAATGTGGGCTAGGGAACCCTCATCCACTAGTGGGTTAAAAAAAAAACAGAAAAAAGATCCTCCAATGACAGGGATGGAACAAAAGCAAAACCAAATTGAAGAAGTAAAAAATGTGGCTCTTATTGAGGCAGAACCAATAAAAAAAAAAGGACTATAATGAAAATACAAGGTCTTAAATCAATACAATTAGAGAACACAAACTGGAGACCATTCTTCTAACTGAAGTATCACAAGAATGGAAAAACAAACACCACATGTACTCACCATTATATTGGAACTAATAGATCAACACTTATGTGCACACATGGAAATAACATTCATTGGAAATCAAGCAGGTGGAGGGGAGGAGGGGATGGGTAAATTCACACATAATGGGTACAATGCACACTATGTGGGGGATGGGCACTCTTATAACTTTGACTCAAATGGTACAAAAGCAATTTATGTAACCAAAACATTGTACCCCATAATATTCTGAAATTAAAAAAAAAAGAACATGCACACAAAAAAACATTTTCTGGAACTAATAATCAATTTCTAAATTAAAATTTTAATAGAAGAACTGAAAACATAAAAATTAAATTATAGAAGCAAAGTAAGAAATATATGGGAAAATATTCATATAATCTTAGGGGTAGGAGACCTTTTTAGTAAGATGGGAAGACTAGATATCATAAAAAAAGGTGTGACGGACTCAACTGCATAAAAGCTCAAACTGTCTGCATGAAAAATGACATCATATACAAAGAACAAAAACATTTGCAAGATACATAACACACAGAGGATTCATATCACTAAGACAAGGTGCTCCTACAAACAGATGAGAAAAGATAACTTAATAGAAAAAAAAGTGAACAATGGATGGAAAAGGTAGTTTCCAGAAGAAGAAACACAAATAGCCAATAAATATGCTATTAGATAGAGAAATGCAAATTAAAACAATGAGATACCTTTTTTTTTGCCCTTCAAATTGACAAAAATAAAAAAAGTGACATCCTGGGCTAGCAAGAAGTGTGGGAAAATATAACTTTTATATGTGTTTGGTGGAGCAATAAATTACGATATCCTTGTTGCAAAGTAATATGGTATAATTTCTTAAAATTAAAAAATACATATACCCTCTGACTCAATAGTTTCACTTCCAGGAACTTATTCTGACAGAATTTATGGTACCGTAATGAAGACACATATTGCTACATTGTTCGTAACAGGAAAAAACCTGCAAACAATCTGAATATCCATCCATGGGGATATGGTTGAATAAATAATAAATTCTGATGTGTTTATAGTTATGAAATAATATACAACTATTAAAAGCTCAATCCATATTCATATATATTGACTTGTAAGGATATTTGCAATAGAATTTTAAGTAAACACCAATAAAAAGGTTATGGTATGATATTTGTTCTATGATTCCAGTTTAAAAAAGAGATGCACATTCACTTGTATTTATTTATATTCTCAAAGGAAAAATTATGAAAGATACACATCAAATAATATTAAAAAGTGGGTTTGGAAATGGAAACAATTTTACTTTGGACGTCAATATTTTTGAACTGGTACAATTATTAGCATGCATTTCCATTTTAATCAAATAAATGAAATAAAACTTTTTAAATCTCCCAAATAACAAGTGCAATAAAATAAATGGGAAATATGAAACATAAAAAAGAAATGCCAATGGGGATGGATAATGGATGCAAAAATATAGTTAGGTAGAATGAACAACATGTGATAGCACAACAAAGTGACTATAATCAACAATAAGTTAGGGTATACTTTAAAATAACTAAAAGAGTAGAATTGGAATGTTCCTAACATAAGGAAATGATAAATGCCTTAAGTGATGGATATCCCAATTACCCTGATTTGATTAATTCACATTGTGTGCCTGTATCAAACATCACATGTACCCTATGAAGATATATAACTATTATGTACCCATAATAATTAAAAATAAAATTTTTTTAAATTAAAAATGCCAAAAGATAATCCATTTACTAGAAATCAATTGTGACAGATTAGGAAATCATTTTTTTGTTGTTTTTGGCTATATTATTTTAATTCCTTGTGGGATCCCTGGTTATCTTATGTAGCTCAGAAACCCTTATTAAAGCTAGTTATTTAAGCTTATCAGAAGTTCTGGTTAGGAGTTATATGTTACTGGTTAACAAGAAGGGTAAAGTGAACTTTTACTCAATGAAGACATCATAGCAGCCATGGAAAGGGGACGATAGAAACAAACAAAAAACAAAAACAAAGGTATCTTGGGTGCAGAAAAATTGGAAATTATGGTTTACAGCATTATGCCATGTTTTCACCTCCACCGAGGTCACAGAGGTCCTGGGGTAGGAAGTCTAGTGGAATCATTCAAATGACAAGCAACTCACCATTGTAACAAGCCCAGTGCAGTGGTGTGTAGCCTTGGTTATCTTTGAAGCAACAGTCCTCCTCGGAAAGAGCCATCTGGAGCAGCTCGCTCAGCCACGTGGCATGGCCACGAGCAGCTGCGTAGTGCAAGGGCGTCCTCCCTCTGGAATCTTTACAGAGAATTGACACTTCTTGTTCCAGCAGCATTTGCACACATTCCTCGTGTCCTGTCATAATCTGATGCATTGCAATTAAAAACACAAAACAGACCTCAGAGACTCAGGAGGAAAAGCAGTTGGCTAAATGAGGCTGGGCTCAGAGCAAGTGGACAGACGCCTGGGCCTTAAGGAAAGCAGACTGCGCCCTACTTCAAGGGCAGGAGGCAGGACAACCCCAGCAAAATTCATAACAGAAAAGTCAGTGAACACCAGCATTTTGGAACCATCTCTTGATTCTCCAGACATAACCATGAAAAGCACATCAGCCTTAGGAGGACATGAGTTAAATCCTGGCTCCCCCTTGGCAAGTCAACTGGCCTCTCTGTGCTTCCCTTTATTCACCTGTAAATAGGAATAGTAATAGTGACCTCAGATGTTGTGAGGACTAAAGAGATATGTGCAAAAACTGCCAGCCTGTTGCACGACCAAGAGGAAATGTCCAAGAAATAAGAACTATGATTATGACAATGACCACGTAGAGTCCCTCTTCTTTTCATGTATCAGGGTAAATGAAAAGGTGTTTGGCACCATCCCCAAAGAGCAATTTTATGATTTCTGCTTTTGTTCATTTCTTTTATTTGACATGTTTTAAAAAACAATTCAGCAGATGTGTGCAAAACATTGCCCACAGGATATATTGGCATCATTTGTAATAAAGAACAATTAGAAATAGCATGACTACTTGCAACCAGGTAATCACTGAAATAAATTATGGTACCTGAACACAAGAGAGCATTAAAAATGATGGTGCATTAAAAGGTGACATAAAGAAAGTCCTTGATTTACTAAGAGAAAAAAAGCAGATTCCGAATAATATCTTCCGTATTCTTTTTAAAACTGAAAACAAATCTCCATACAGAAAAAAAAAATTGGAGATATAAATACACACCAAAAAAAGGTTATCTCCAGGCGGTCTGATTACCAGTGATTGTGATTTTCTTCTCTTTGCTCTTAAAAAATATTTTGCAAATTTTCTATCATGTACATGCATTTTGTAATCAGAAAGCAGAACCAATTCCACCAACAGTAGGTGTTCATGTGTCTATTTATCTATAATCTAACATGAAATCTTAAGAGCAAGACCTGAGAGTACCTTCCATTATTTTGCCTTTGCAAAAGATTTTGTAATTTCTTTCTGACTGACTGAGGTTAATTGGTTATGTTAGGAAACAACATTTTTACAAAAACTTCTATGGAGAAAAAAAGAAGAAACAGGTCATTGAAAAATTGCTTGACTAAAACTGAGAAAGATGTACATACCCCTCTGTGTAAAGCCGTGCATCCTAGGATATCAACAGCATCTACGTTTGCTTCCTTTTCAAGTAACAACGAAACAGCATCAATATGTCCATATGCTACTGCAAGCATCAGTGGAGTTCTAGGGAGAGAGATAAAGTAGGCTTTTTAAAATGAGATTAAAAAAAATACCACTTTCAGTGGGAGGATCTCTCTCTCTCTCTCTTTCCTTGACAATTGCTTAATATTTTCTGAGTGTCCCCAATTTGCTATATGCTACGTGGAACAAGCCATCTGCCTCTGCTCTAATAGCCACATGGAATGGTGTCAGTGAAATTATTCCTAGGAATGAGGCAGGGAAAGTTCTTTTTCAAAATATTCATGTTAATCCCATCATTTTCAGAACTATGTCACATTTACTAAATACCAATTGGGTGGGGAGTATGTGTATGTAGAAGACCCTCTTGCTTCCATCAGAGCAGCTCTACTTTCACAGTATTCTATGTTGCACTTCTCAAGATTTCATGTAAACAAAGCTCCTTTCCCTAAAGAAAAGTCTGACAAATGTAGGGGGAAGAACAGAGCACAGGGATCTGGGAAGTGAGGTTCTGACTATGGCACTAATTTATATGCCTAGGGCTAGTCACTAGTCACTAGTGCTATTTTGCTCTACATTTCCTATTTTTAAGAGAAGATTGGGTGGGGAATGGGCCAATGGATGCAAATTACTTTGAAAAAACAAACTTAAGGAAGAATAAAAATCTAAAGGATTTTAATGATGGAGATAATCTCTTGAGGTCTATCTTATTGCGACTGTTAATTAAAAAATGGGACGTAGCAGCTTCATAAGAGGGTAAAAATAGGTGGAAAGAGGGAACAAAGAGCCAGGAAACATGGCCACAGTCCAAAAAGGGTGATCTTTTTCATCAGGATATGCATATATACACCTGCCTGCTGTAGTCCATAGGCCACCAGGATGGCTAAATAGTAGAAAGGAGAGCTTTATTGGCGATATCAATTTGCAAACTGGGATGAGACAGTCTGCAGCGGAAGATGCTCTCTCTTTGAAGGGGAAAAGACAGGTTGGGTTTTTATGCCTTACAGGGTCCAGATTACACAACAGAGTCATACATATTCAGCAGGTTTGGGTGAAAAAGCTATACATATTTAAGATGGGAGTTGAGAGCATGCACAATGGGTAAACATATATATAACATACATCCCATGTTCACTTTGGGGCGGGGTTCTAGCATTAAAATGAGGTGGAATTTGGCTCTTTACATCAAAAGATGAATGACAGGACACAAGACAGTTTGTGAACAGTCTCTATAAGTTGGCTGAAACTGGCTTAACGTTTGCAGTTGCTTATCAGAAAAGAATGTTTATAAGGCTAGTCTTATGTGCAATCAGAGTTGTAGTAAATCAGAGTTAGGAGGGTCTGATAATTTGCCTGATAGCTCTTATTGTTAGGATATTTGGTAAGAGCATGGTTTTTCTTGTTGCTGGAAGTTGCCATGCCAGCTGAGCCCCGAAACCTCCCTGCCAGTGGGTAACTTTTGTTTCTTTAACTTTAGGGTCCATCTTAGTTGATAAAGGGACACCTATTTTGGTCTCTCAGGTCACAATACTTTTCTTGGATATACAAACTCTGCATGAAATCACTTCATTTCTCTAGGGCCCTCATCCATGAATTTCACCCAAATATAATATATTCCCCCAACCTCTAGGTTCAGCAGTCAGCTCTTTTACCTGCTTAACAAACCAACCAATTACCTGTCATGACTGATATGTTAACCCAAGGCCAAGTGTGAGAAAACTTACTGTCCTTTGGCATCTTTCACATCCACTACTTCTGGGTTGTCTGCAATTTCTAGTAATAGCCGCAAACACAGTGTGTGACCATTGATTACTGAAAAAGAAAACAACGGACAGTCTTTTAATGGAACAGCACTACATATAACCCTCCAAAGTGAAATTTACTTGGACTTCAAAGCAGTGGTTTTCTTGTTGCTGATATATACCCCTTGGTTTCTGGTTCATGACTGTCTCAGGGTACAGAATGCTCCAGTGTTAATCTGTCTTCCCCTTTCTTCTGTCAGCCCACTTTGATCCTCACTTTCCTTTTCTGGCTGTCGTGTTGAGGGGGCTTTTCCCTAAAACTTGATGTCTTGTCTTATCTCCTTGCATGGGACTGATAATCACTGTACAAGAGTCGGTTCCTCTTTTTGTTCCTCTAAGAGAGTCACCCAATTCGATATAATCATCCTGTGTCTACCCTGCCTACAGCCGTTTTAAAAAGAAGGAAGAAGGGAGAGAAGTAGGGGAGGAGGGAGAGGGAAGAAGGAAAGGGAGTAGAGAACAGGGCTGCCTCTTGTTCCGGGTCATTTTACGCTTAGGTAGACATTCCAGCAGTAGTTCTGATTGATTAGTGGTGGCTGAAAGCAAGACTTCAAGCCAGTAAGGTGTACATGATCCATCCGTTTACTGCTCTTTGATGACGTGTTGGCACTCTCGGGAGACACGGATGGGCCCATTGTGGCTGGAGGATACCTCTGTCCTGTGCTCCTCAAACAACAGCTGGTGGTTTGTGTCTTCCAGTGCCTCAAGCAAGCTGCAGTTGGCGCTCCTGTTCCCTCCTCTCCTCGGCCTCCCCTCCCCTGCCATGCTCTGACTCCGCCCTGCAGACCCAGGCAGGAAATTCAGCCCCATATCCAACAGCTGGGGCGGGAGCACAGGGACTTGCCCTTGTGCGCACCTGGCAATATGCTCCTTTTAGGAGGTTGTGGTCCCATGGGGGCCGGGAAGCAAACCTGTGAAGATAATCCCCTGGGGTAAGGTACATTTGCTCCAGCTTGTTGAATGGAAACCAGAGCCTTACAATAGACATGGCTTTCCACTCAGGGTGTAAGCCGAGAATATATATTGTTAAAATTCCAAACGTGACCTTCTCTCCTCTCTGAACAATGTGAACACTATAAAATAAATTGCATTTGCCACATTATAGATGTGGGGAGAGAAGGGAATAGATGCAGCTATGTTAGGTTAATAAAGGCTCTTTGAAGAGCTGAGTTTTATAGTCCTTTTTATTGCTTGCCAGTCATGAGAGAATGCTAATTTAGCAATGACACATTTCTCAGGAACAATAAATACATATTAGAATTAGCTCATATTCATCAACCCTACTCAAATGAACTACAGGAATAACACCCACATTGTGTAGACTTCTGTTTTCAGCTCATTCTCAGCAATATTCCATTTATGTATCTCAGGAGGAAATTTTGTTGTGGATTGGAGTACAGGTAACCTATTGTTGATGCTGTTGTTTGATTTTTGTTCTTAAAATGACACTAAATCTGTTACCACTGGGGAAATATGCAAGAAGTTTAATGTCTGCCTAATAGGAAGTGATTAGCAAAGGACTGACAGCTACATATTATAGGCAATGGGAAAAACAGCATATTTTGACTGGTTCCCCTTTCTATAACAATTTGATATTCTTTAAATAGTCACGATCATAATAGTTTGAATGATTTTTGATTTTTAGCTAAACATAAGAAGAAAAAATCATCTAAGTTTATATCATTCACCCAGTATGTTGGATGGCAAAACAATTTCTAGAGTTGTGGTTTTTTTTGTATAGTAGCTTTTTGAACTTAGCTAATAGCCCTCAGGTAAATTTAAGTCCCCCTTATCATAAAAGTGTGGCCAAACTTAAATTTTCGTTGGCTTCCCACACACTACATTTTTTTTTCCGGATTTGCCTTCTAGTAAAAAGATGCTAACATCTTTAGCTGTGGCTGCCAAGTCCAGCTTTGTCTCAGACTAGCTCAGCCTCTCCCTGCCTGTGAGTGACAGCCATTTTTCATGCTGCTCAAAGACTACAACTGTCACTGCAACTATCTCTGCCAAAACCTCTAATAATCATCCTGACTCCTGTTTCTCACAGTATTCCAAGGATTTAACACAAAATAATTGACCTCTCAAATGAATCGAAAAAGATTCTGGATAAGCAGACCCTCAAAGCACAGGCTAGAGCTTCCACACAGCAGACATTTTGTGGAGAACATTCAAGTGACAGCCTGTGTCTTTTTTAATGAACCGCATGATGCAAATCCAAACAGAGCGAGTCTTCTTGACCACTAGGGGGCTTCATTGGACCACAACCTATAGCACAGTGACAAATAAGTGACAATGATTGTTCTTTATTGTTTACCTGTTTAGTAGGACGATTTTCCATAATCAAAATAGGCCCTTTGTAATTATCAGGAATTATATGATAACTAAAGTAGGACGCTTGTCTTAATAATAGGCAACTAAACTTAAAAAATGGAGAACAAAATTTGAACTTTATACCAAGAATGCCTAGGGAGCAAAAAGACTAAATATGATGGGAAATAAGAATTTATAATTCAAGCACACTAAACGTTACTGAACTCATGGCTAAAGTTTTTCCCAGCAACAATCGTTTCCAGGTAATTAGGCAAGAATCAGGCTTTTTCAATCTCCATATTGTTTTTGTTCAGTGGTTTGGAAGTTCAGGGATGTAGATAGAAACACTTATACAAGATCTATCATGCCAAGAAAATTTTCCCAAGTAACAAGAATCATAAAGTCTTTTGACAAAGTTATCTTCACTTCTTTTGTTCCTCAGTATACCCATTTCATCATGTAAGACAGTTATTTCTCTTTAGCAGATGGTTATTTACTACTCTGATCCAAGGCTGAGATCACTGGATTTCCTGAGCCCAAAGGTATCTTTTAGCTGAGCTAGAGACTCTTCCACATTACTTTATATCTGACACTACATCTAGAAGTGTCTAAACCAGGTTTTCACATGCATGGGAGAAAAATCCCAGAAAAGAACAAATTAGTTACTTCTTAATATTTATATGTACTTTTTAAGAGTCTCTATTGTTACATTTGATGCATCAAGAGTCGGAACAATAGCTAAGAAGCATCATTTAGGCTGGCAGAATGATAACACTGATTAGAGTGCTGTTTGATAACTCCTTATATGAAATGATCCTGAAATAGCATTAATTTTATGTTTTAAAATGCTGTTTAATTTTGATGTGTTTTGTTCTATGTAACTTATTCTGAAGATTGCATTATACCTTGCCCTTTGTTCAGAAAGTTTTGTGCTAGCTTTTGGCCAGAGGTTCTGAACTCTCTTTAGAGTTAAGAAAGCCAGAGTCTGCCTGGTCAGAGAACACCCATCATCTCCAAGGAGACAGCAGGCCAAAAGCATTTTGGACATGTGTAGGTATATCCGATGAAGAAAGAAAATTGATATTTTAAAAATTGAGATGAAAGAAGATGCTGTCATCCTTTTATTCAAACTTATGAGTGGGCCACCAAACTATGGTCATGAGACCCTTGACAAGACCTACCTGAGGCATGAAGTGGGGTTCTTTTGGTTACATTGTCTTTCACAAAGATGGACGCGCCCTGATTGATAAGTGCTTCCACACATTCTGTGTGCCCCTTAAAGGCGGCCAGATCCAAAGCAGTGCGACCTTTCTCATCCCTGATGTCCAGGTCCACCAGCGACTGCAGAAGGACTTCCAAGGCTTGATGGTGCCCATTGTAGGCCTGCAAAGAAGAAACCAATGACTCACATACTCAGCTCCAATCCCACAACAACTCATGTGAGAGGCTAGGCCTCCAAGCTCATGGATAGAGACCACTCTAAAGAGCACATCAGAAAAATGCTTGGAATAATGATTGAAACATAGGCAAACTGGGAGTTAGACTGAAAAGCTATAATGCACAAACCTGAAGTTACACATAAATTTATTCATATTCTTTCTCTTTTGTCAATAATTTGCTATAACGGCAATAAATGCATTAATGTATTCTTTTATCTATTGATCTAATAATCTAATACAGACTAACAGTTAAATGAATTAATATATTCTTATATCTGTCAGTTCAGTCCTAAATACATCGGTGTAATCAGAATTTATTTTCGGGAGTCTTTTCTATTAACAAACTTGTAGAAAAAAATTACTAAAAATATCGTGGACTCTGGGATTCAACAGAGGCATACAGATTTTCTCTTGTAGGAGAACACTTCACCAATTTCTAACCATGGGACCTTAGGTGAATTTCTTATTTTCACTTAGAGTTTATATCCTCATCTGTAAAATGAGAGCAAGAAAAGCTGCCTCCTGGGGTTGCTGTGAAGATGAAAAGAGATAAAATTGCACAGTCTTTGCATAATATCTTTTGTGTAGTGGATACTTCTTCTTTTCTTATTTCTTCCATTGATTATAATGAAAATACTGAAACTATTATGGAAATATATTCCACGTACCAGCACCAAGTTCAGATCTACTATGAGGTCCTATGCTATGTCAAGATTAAGAGGCTTCATACCACTAAAAAACAAAAGTCTGAACGATAATTTTTATTGAGTCTATAAGGCAAAAAATACATATACACATACCCACGCACACCCTGCCCCCACCATCCAGATTAAAGGACATTGAGAACCAAGGAGAAAGGCGATAAGGTTATCTGGGGAAAATCTGGGTGGGGGAGGGAAGAAAAGAAATAGAAGAGGAAAAGCCTGACCGCAGTGTCTTCAGCAGCAAAGTCCCCCTCATATGTCACCTGCACTTTTTATTTTTCTACTGCAGCTATTACTCAAGTCACATTTTATCAGAATAAAGGCTTAGCACAAAGGACTAATTTCCTTAATATACAAAAAGCTCTTAGAAATCATTTTAAAAACTAGGAAAATATGCAAAAGTCAGCTCACAGAAAAAGAAAAATAGAAGGTCAATAAATATATGAAAAAATAGTAAACTTTTAAAATATTATTTTCAATGACCAGATTGGCAATGACTAAAAAGTTTGGTCATGGTGACTATTAATTAAGACACTGTGGGGAAAAAGCAATCTTATATTCTGTTGGGAGTATAAATTGATGTGACATCTGTGGAGGGTGATTTAACAAAATCTATCAAATTTTTAAAAAGAGAAATTAAGTTGTAGAACGTACATATGGTATAACCTCATTTACATAAAAAGCAAATATATCCATATATATCTACACCTATATCTATACATCTATAGTCATAGAAGAATTTTAGAGGGATACAAAAGAAACTATTAATGGTGGTTTCCTTGAGAAATGAGAGGTGGAGTAATAAGCATATGGACTTATTTCACTTTCTCTTTTAAAATACAGTTTGAATTTTTTCTAAGTATATATTAACAACAACAATAACAGAAACTAGATTTAAAAGGGTTCATAGGAATTAAGAGTACTAATATATTAAAAAAAACTTTCTCATTACATTTTTTGGTAAATGATTATGGTGATTATGCTACATATTAAACATATATATTATAAATAACAGGTAGTATAATTCATGCTGATGAATCTCTAATTTATAGCCCAGTCCCAACTTCTCCCTTGAATTCTAGACTTGTATATCCAACTGCCTACTAATATTTCCACTTGAAGGTCTAATAGGCATCTCGAACTAAATTCTTAATTTCCCTCCCAAAACTTGGTCCATCTACAGCCTTTCCCATCTCAGTAAATGGCAACTATACTCTTCTACTTTCTCAGGCCCCAAACGTTGGAGTCATCTTTGTCTTCCGTCCTCTTAAGCCCAGAGCTATGTCCCTAGACAAGGGCTCTGTGACAATAGGGCAAGTGGATGCTAAAAAATAGCCCTCCCTACCTTTCCCTGCCCTGGCACAGGGATGTGTCTGCTGAAAGAAAGGGGACACCTTTGCTAACTCACACGGAGGTGTCATGAAGTTCTCAGGCACACAGGTGCTGTGTGACGTGCAGCAGCCCTCAATGCCACTCCCAAGGCAGCATCACATCATCTCATCTCTTTCTTTAAAATACCTCCAGAATCTATCCACTTTGCACTGTACCACCGTCCTGTTTTGCCAGGGTTACAGCAAATGTTCCCTTCTCATCCTTGTCCTCCTGCGATCTATTATTGATAAGGTTACCAGGTGAAATCTTTTAAACCCAAGTTAGATTATGTCACTCCTTGCTTAAAACTAGCCTACGGTTTCTTCCCTCATTGATATCAAAATTTTACATGAACAACTGGGCCCCCAGGACCTGGCCTCCCACATCCCTTCACTCACTCTGTTCCAGCCACACCAGCTCCCAGCTCCCCTATGCAGTCAAATGCCTGCATCTCCTTCTCTGGGCCCGTTGTATCGGTACCTTCCTTTCCTCTGTCTGGAAAGCTCTTCCTCCAGAGAGCCAGTGGCTCTCCTGGTACTTCTGCTCAAATATCATTGTATCAGGGAGGCTTCCCAGAGCAGTCCATGTAGAATAGTGTCCACTCTCCACCCCACTTATCTTGCTTCACTTTGTCTTCATAGCACTATGACCCCCTGATATCTGGTATGCATTTGTTGATGTGTTTATTGCCTGTGACTGAAGGGACTTTATGTGGGCTGTTCCCTGCTATATCATAGAATCTTGCCTGGCACATAGTAGACCCTCAACAATTATTTGATGAACAAATGAATGAATATAGTGACTTATATTTATTAGCATTAGGGGTAGAAATGTATTTGTAAAATACCAATTGTTTATTGAGGGCTTTTTATGTGCTAGGCACTATTTTGAGCATGTTAGCATTTCATTTATTGTAAACATTCTTTCATATACTTACAGGTGAAAAAAACTAAAACAAGAAATGTTAATTAACTTGTCTGAGATCTCTCAGCTAGTAAGTGACAAAGTCAGGATTTTGAACCCAGAATCAGTGACCACTAAAACCCATACTTTTAGGCATTATCTTACAATTTTTTTCTAGTAATTCCATTTAATTGTCTTTCAAACAAAATACTTTGTCTCTATGTGGAATAGAGACAAAGTAATGGAACAGAGAGTTGAATAACAAACGTTGAATCAGAAACCTAAACCTTTTCTATAGAAAACTCAACACAGAGGTAAAGTGATTTGAGCAGAGCTTTGAAGCAAGAAGGATACTTCTGAGAATAACCTTCAGCCTATTGCTCTTTTACTATACATATTGCCTTTCTGGAGATAGTAAATAAATTCCTAATAAAAATGTCTAACTTTCTGATCTATACTTGATATGCAAGCCATAACTGCATAGGATAGTAAGCCTTCATTCTAACCTAAATTCGGAAGCAGTAACTTTTACTGAGCACTTGTGTGTGTCAAGCAGTATTGGACACACATCACCTCATTTGATTCTCTCAACAAACTTTGGTTTGGATACTCTTGTTAATCCCATTGTACCAATAAAGACACAGAGGGCAGAGAGGTTACCCAGCTCTCCTATGGTTATAGTTTTACGTAGAGGAGCTGGGTTTCAAAGGTGGACAAGGCTGATGCCAGAGCTTGAGTGGTGGGCTCTTCTTGAGCAAATATGGAAAGAGTCCAACATGGCCCTAAGGTATATGTCTTCCTAATCTTTCATTACAGGAAATTTCAAACATACACAAAGGAGAGTGGATGGTATAATGAATTTTCACGTACCTTTCATGCAATTTCTGCCATTATCGATTCAGGTCATGGGGGATTTTAAGCCAACTCGGGAGCACCTATCCTGTGTAAAGGCTGTGGTAACAGCGGCATCGACATCAGGGTGTAAATCAGCCCATAACTGCTTACTCTGGGCTTCTGTCCGTTGCTTAAACTTTCACTTAGCTCATTTAAGTTAAAGAAACTTAATATTAAAATGGAGTGAACACTGCTGGCAATTAGGGAAGCTTTAGAATTCCAACCCATACTTTCATCTATACCAGGCACTTGAAAACCCTGTTAAAGACAGAATGGTTGAAAGGCCAGATTTACCTACAGAATTCTCCTTGTTTCTTCCTTTCGTCTAGCTTGCAGCTCTTGAATTTTACTATGCATAAAGTCAAGTCTTCACTGAAGGTATCAATCAAATACTTTTAAATTGTTTTAAGAGATATCTTTTAAAATATCATTAAACATTATTAATTTCTCCAAACCTTTTAAGATAGGAACTAAAGACAATGAGGGGAAAGAACTGGGATCTCAACAGAATCCATGAGAACAATGGATCCATCTGGAAATTTTGACAGCTGGAGCTTTTCATTTGCATAACATTGTTTCTTAATTTAATTTTTTCAAGTGGATGAAATGCTTATGAAATTCACTGGGCTGATAACCCTGGAGACTTGAATCATTCAGCTAGGAAATAGTAACCTGAGGCAGGTCAGGTTTCTTGTGGCACTCAAGGTTTGGGGACATCTAGTTCCACTTCACTGCTACAATGCTTCCACTTAAGCCATTATGTGCCTTGGGTTTTATCAAGTTAATTGCTACAGAGGCCCCTGGAGAGGGCAGTGGGCATACTTGTGAGGTTCTTGAAGCAAATAATTTTTTAAAAAAGCACTAGCATTTAGAGGGAAAAGATAAAACAATTTTAGAAGAAATCCATTGCAATCGCCCTGGTCAAAGTCATCATCATCATCTCTTACCTGGTTTTGCTTTGCATCTGCTTTTGTTCCCTTGTAATTTAAACTCAACACTGAAGCTAACGTGATACTTTTAAAACAAAAGTCATCTCATGTCACCTGTTTCCTCAAGACTCCCCTAAATGGTTTCCTATTTTGTTCAAAGTAAGAGTCCCGGTGAGATCTGCATCCCTGATCCCCCAGACTCCCCCCACAACACGTCAGACCTCACCCTGACCACTCTCCCCTCACACTCTGCTCCGGCCACAGTAGCCTCTTTGCTGTTCTGTGGACATGCAAGCGTGCTATCACCCGGGGACTTTGTACTTCTGCCCAGAACACTCTTCTGTTAGATATCAACTGCGTAGCTCTTAAGGTTTCTGCTCAAATGTGGGTTCTACACTATGTAAAATGGCATCCTGTCTGCCACCACAGTACTCTCTATCTCACTGATGCCGTTTCAGTTTCTCTGTAGCACTTGCAGCACTTACTGCCATCTGTCATGCTAAGTATTTACTTGCCTATTGTCTCTCCTAGATGGGAAACTCTACAGGGACAGAGGCCAGGCCTTGTTCACTGCAATATCTCCAACTCCTGGAATAGTGCTTGGCATTATTCACAGTCAGTATATGCTGAATGAAAGAATGATATTAATGTTAATAATGATGATCATGACGCTAGCTGATTGCAAATATGTGCCAGGTACTGTTCCAGTTGTGTTCCATGCATTAACTCATGCCATCCCTACAATGGCCCTGTGGTGAGGCACTGATATTCTCTTCATATTATGGGTAGGGAAACCAAGACATGGAAGTTAGGTACTTGGGCCAAGATCACACAAAGAACAATTAAATAAATTAACAAACTGGAAAGGGTCTTTGGGATGTTTAACTAACTCACTCCCTTTAATTTACAGGTGGGAAAACCATGTCCAGGTGAGTTGCTAAGAAAAGAGCAGCAGCTGGGACCTCTTCTCTTTGTGTCTTTCCTAGGTCCCTGTCAGCTGCAGAAGTATCAAAGCCCAACTCCTTCCAATGATATCACCACCCTGTCTTTATATGACTAGAAACCCATAGAGCTTAGCAGAGCACACAGTAAGCACTCAACAAATAATTTTTGGAAACAAACGAAAAAGAATGAGAGATGATACAATTTTTGGAAGCCAAGAAACTCTCTTCTTAGATTAGTAGCAGACCTGGTAATGCAGTCAACCCCACTTTCAAAGGGCATGAGAACTGTGAGATAACCCTCCACATGGGACTCTCTAGAGGCAGCTAGTGCTATGTTTGTGAGTGCTCAGCTTTGGGGTAACTTCCCCAGGCACAGCAGATTCTAGCGAGCAACCTTTAGAGCAACCTGTAGTAAGAGCCAACTGGTATGAAGCTATATACATATAAATATCCCGATATTCATCTACCTTTTCCACTCTAAGTCTACCTTCAGGAACAAAGATTGATGTACATTGTAGCTTGATTTCACTAGACTCAAAATGCATGTGGTGTGGTGGACGTGCTGGTGGGTATGTCAGAGGATGTGAGAGTAGGGTGTCAGCAGGTGTGCCGGTGAGTATGTGGGGACAGGCAGTGAAGGGAGGGCTCCATGTGTGTGATTGGTTCTGGTTACTCCCAATCCTTGTGCGATGACCTTGTCTCTCCTTGCCTTGTCTGAACACTTCTGTATGCCTATTAATAAAACAATCCTCTCTTCTCTCCAAAATCTCCATCTTAATTTTTCATCAGACAATGAAACAGTGCTTATGTATTTATTAAGTGAACTGTCATAACGGCAGTTAAACATAGAGACCCAGCCCCTTCCCATTCTTCCCAGCATCCTGCCCCCTGGGTTTTACTAAGCAATGAAGCATCTAAACACCATCTTCCTGGCCATGCACTAAGCGCTTTCACAATTCAGCAGCACCTTGGGCAGGTGAGCTGGCTGTTGCTGCGTGTTAGCAGGGCACAATCTGAAATAGAGTGGTGGGTGCGTTTCCCGCCTTGGTCACTCCCATGAAGAGTTTGGGGAACATCACTCTGAGCTGTTGCATTTCTATTCAATTACTGGGAGGTAGAGAGGAAGCTTTACTGGTGATAAAATAAGCTCTTCTCCCCCTTTCTCCCAGATCTCATCCGGCCTAAGACTCAGAGCCAAAGACTTTCTGGGAGACCCTGATTTCAAGTCCAGGCAGAAAGAGCACAATTGCAAATTTGTGCTTAATAATCCTGACAGTTTTTAATTGCGGTTTTTGAAAATATGGTATTTGATTATCTGTAGGTTTAACATTTGTGTATTATTATTTATAATCAAACCTCATAAACTGCAATGTTTTCTTTGAATTTTAAAGATTGTTAAAATTCATAACTGTAATTTTTTAAGTACATTGTGGTTAAGGACTTTTTCTGCTTTATTTCTTCTTATCTGCCCTCATTTTACAGATGGGGAAACTGAGGCTCAAGACAGGGTAAGTCATATGTCTAAGGTCACCAGCCAGTGAAGCTGGGATTGGAAGGCAAGGCAGTCTTTCTCTCTGCAGCCTGTGCCTTCCACCGTGTACTACTTTCATTATCACTAATCACTGTATGACAATGCTTACATTTTAAGAGCAGCCTAGTTTTAGGAATGCTTGGGTTCTCATTGTAACAGGCAAAGCTGCCACGGCATCTCACTTACAGCTAAGTGGAGCGGACTCTTGATAGCACCGGAATCTGATTCTTCACAACCACTGTTGGTTCTTTCCAAAAGCTGTGGAGACAAAAGAAAAACAACAGTACATGAGTCCTATTTTGCCAAAGGGATCCTACTTTCTAGATACTAATGTTGGCATAAATGAGAAAGGAGACTTCAGAAACTTAAACTATGCAGCTTATCAACAACATAAAAAATCTGATATGGCATATCTAAAACAAACATGCTAACCAAATATTTAAACTTCTAGATCATCTCAGCAGTTGCTACCCAAAGGAAAATAGAAAAATCCAGAAAAATAATTCATGTTAAATCCATTTTCACCCAATAAATTGGTAATAATGAAAAAATCATAATATCCATTATTTATTCCGTTATTAAACATATATTTATTGGAAATAGTGTTGAAAAAGATAAGAATTCTGCTCTCGTGAGGCTTACATTTTAGAAAAAGAAAGCATAGACAAACAAATAAATACACAAATAAGAAAATATTGAGAAGTTATACATTCTATGATGAAAATAAAATAGGGGGATGTGATATGGAGTGATCAAGAGGTTACTTTATAGCAGATGGTCAGGGAAGGCCTCTCCAAGGAGGTGACATTTAAAGTAAATCCTAAATATTTAGGTTATGAAGTCTGAAATGTCCAATTTCCTTAAGTATTAAGTCTGACAGTTATTTCTGACATTTCACTTTGATACTTCTTGTTTTATTTTTAATGTGAAGGTACATCCTCATTCTTTCAAACACGTGGTTTGGCTTGTGATTATCTTTCAAATTGTTTTTTAGAGCAAATTTTGTGAAACCAGGGATAAGTCAAAAATTCATGTTATTTTTGAGTAAGTTCCCTTGTGCACCAATGCTGTGTAGACAGCTCAAAATATCAATGAAGTGTTTGGAAAGGATGTGTCTAATGAACGCACAGTAAGTCAATGGTTTGAAAAGTTCTGTTCTGGTGATTCTAATATTGAAATGAGCCATGTAGCCACCTGAGACCAAGGTGCATAACGATGAGCTGAAAGCTGTAGTGGAAGCAAATCCATCACAACCCACACGTGAATTAGCAGCAAGGTTTGACATCACAATTCCAATGATACTGGACCATTTGAAACAAACCGGCAAGGTAAAGAAGCTGGATAGATGGGTACTGCATGAATTAAACCAGCATCAGAAGATAAATCATCTCAAAGCTTGCCTTTCTTCTAGAATTCTTATAGTTTGATGCATTAGGTTTAAGTCTGTTATCAATGATGAATTGATTTTTTGACAGGTGAGAGGTGTGGATCCTGTTTCAGTCTTCTACCTGTGGCTATCCAATTTTCCCAGCACCATTTATTGAATTGAATAAGGCTTCTTTTCCCCAGTGTATGTTTTTGTCTGCTTTGCTGAAGATTAGATGGCTATATGAGGATGGTTTTATATCTGGCTTCTCAGTTCTGCTCCATTGGTATACATCTCTGTTCTTGTGCCAGTACCATGCTGTTTTGGTTACTATAGCCCTGTAGTATAGCTTGAAGTCTGGTAAATTGATGCCTCCCAATTTGTTCTTTTTGCTTAAGATTTTTTTTGCTATACGGGATCTTCTCTGATTCCATACGAAGTGTAGGATTATTTTTGAGATATAAAAAACTAAACTTTTGATTTGAAATTGGACATTTCATATTAAATGACATAAATAATAATTAAACAAGATGAAAATGTGGCAGGAGAGTATTCAAGGAGGCAGTGCTCAATGAAATGTATCAAGTAGGGATGAATATGGTGAGTTCAAAGAATGGAAAGACCAGTGTGACCACAGAATGATGTTAGCAAATGACATTCTCACGGACATTTTTTTTTTGGAGTTCCAATGAAACTTTTTTTAAAAATACAGGTGGAAGACCATATTATAATTAGTCCACAGGCTATAATTTGTTTTAATATTTTTTAAATTTTTAATTATTATGGGTATGTAATAGCTATATATCTTTATAGGGTATATGTGACATTTTTATACAGGCATACAATGTGAATTAATCAAATCAGGGTAACTGGGATAGCCATCACTTCAGGCATTTACTTAATATCATTTCTTTGTGTTAGGAACATTCCAGTTCCATTCTTTTAGTTATTTTAAAGTATACCCTACCTTACTGGTGATTATAGTCACTTTGTTGTGCTATCAAATCTTGTTCATTCTATCTAAGTATATTTTTGCACTCATTAACCATCTCTACTTTACCCTCCCCTCCCCACTACTCTTCCCAACCTCTGGTAACCATCATTCTACTCTCTGTCTCCATGAGAGCAACTGTTTTTAATATTTAGCTCCCATGTATGAGTGAGAACATGCAAGATTTGTCTTTCTGTGCTTGGTTTATTTCATTTAACATAATGTTCTCCACTTCCATCCATGTTGTTGCAAATGGCAGGATTTCATCCTTTTTTTGTGGCTATAGAATATTAATATATACATATTCCATTGTGTATATGTACCACAATTTATTCATTCATCTGTTAATGGACGCTTAGGTTGATTCCAAATCTTGGCTATAGTAAATAATGCTGCAATAAACATGCAAGAGCAGGTATCTTTTCAATATACTGAATTCCTCTCTTTTGGATATATACACAGCAGTGGGATTGCTGGGTCATATGGTAGTTCTATTTTCAGTTATTTGAGGAACTTCCATATTATTCTCCATAGTGGTTGCACTAATTTACATTCTTGCCAACAGTGTACGAGGGTTCCCCTTTCTCCATATTCTTTCTTGTTATTGCCGTTTTAATAAAAGCCATTTTAAATGGGATGAGATGCTTTCTCATTGCAGTTTTGATTTACATTTCTCTGATCGCTAATGATGTTGAACATTTTTTCACATACCTGTTGGCCATTTGTATGTCTTCTTTTGAGAAATGTCTATTCAGATCCTTTGCCCATTTTTTAAACAGATTGTTTGATTTTTTTCCTTGAGTTGTTGGAGCTCCTTATATATTCTGGTTATTAATCTGTTGTCAGATGGGTAGTTTGCAAATATTTTCTCCCATTCTGTGTGTTGTCTTTTCACTTTGTTAATTATTTCCTTTGACGTGTAGAAGCTTTTTAGCTTTATGGGATCCCATTTGTCCAATTTTGCTTTGGTTGCCTGTGCTTTCAGGGGATTACTCAAGAAGTCCTTGCTCAGACCAGTCCTAAAGCGTTTCCTTGATGTTTTCTTTTAAAAGTTTCATAGTTTCAGGTCTTAGATTTAAGTCTTTAATCCATTTTCATTGATTTTTGTATAGGGTGAGAGATAATGATTTAGTTTCATTCTTCTGCATAGGGATAGCCAGTTTTCCCAGCACCATTTACTGAAGAGACTGTCCTTTCCCCTCCATATGTTCTTGGCACTTGTGTCAAAGATAAGTTTGCTATAGATGTGTGGATTTATTTCTGGGTTCTCTATTCTGTTCCATTGGTCTATGTGTCTGTTTTTCTGCTAGTACCATGATAGTTTGGTCACTATAGCTCTGTAGTACAATTTGAAGTCAGGTATTGTGATTTATCCAGTTTTGTTCTTTCTGTTCAGGATAGTTTTGGCTATTCTGGGTCTTTTGTGGTTCTATAGAAATTTTAGGATTATTTTTTCTATATCTGTGAAGAATGTCCTTGGTATTTTGATGGGGATTGCATTGAATCTGTAGCTTGCTTTGGGTAGCATGGACATTTTAACCATATTTATTCTTCCAATCCACAAGCATGGAATATCTTTCCATTTTTTAATGTGTCCTCTTCATTTCTTTCATCAATGTTTTACAGTTTTCATTGTAGAGGTCTTTCACTTCTTTGGTTAAGTTCATTCCTAGGCACTTTATTTTATTTGTAGCTATTGTAAATGGGATTACTTTCTTGGTTTCTTTTTCAGATTGTTTACTATTGGTATATAGAAATGCTACTGATTTTTTTATGTTGATTTTGTGTCCTGCAACTTTACTGAATTTGCTTATCAGTTCTAATAGTTTTTTTTGTGGAGTCTTTAGGTTTCTCTAGACATAAGATGATATCATCTGCAAATAAGCAATTTGGCATTTTCCCTTCCAATTTGGATGCCTTTTATTTCTTTCTCTTGTCTGATTGCTCTGGCTATAACTTCTAGTACTATGTTGAATAACAGTGGTGAAAGTGGACATCCTGTCTTGGTCCAGATCTTAGAGGAAAGGCTTTCAGTTTTTCCCCATTCAGTACAATACTAGCTGTGGGTCTGTCATATATGGCTTTTATCATGTTGAGGTAAGTTCCTTCTATACCCAATTTTTTTTAGAGTTTTTAATCATGAGGCAATGTTGAATTTTATTGAATGCTTTTGCAGCACAACTGAAACAATTATATGGTTTTTGTCCTTCATTTTGTTGACATGATGTATCACACTGGTTGATTTGTATATGTTGAACCATCCTTGCATCCCTCGGATGAATCCCACTTGATCGTGGTGAATAATCCTTTTAATGTGTTGCTGAATTTGGTTTGCTAGTTATTTTGTTGAGGATTTTTGCATCTATGTTCTTCAGAGATATTGGCCTATAGTTTTCTTTTGCTGTTGTGTCTTTGTTTTAGTATCAGGGTGATACAGGCCTTGTAGAATATTATGGACTTTTGGTGAAGGAACAAATTGTTAAAACCTTTCTGGGCATTTTGTGCATACTTTTGACCCTGGGAATTAATTCCCAATAAATAACTAGACTAGTGCACAATGACGTATGTATAAAGAAATTTATTCATTCAATTAATATTTAATGAATGATTACCATGTTCCCAGACACTGTTCCATGCACTGAGAACTCAATAATAAGCAGAGTACTAAACATCCATTTTTCCCATTTGGGAGCACATAATAAAAGAAAGAAGTTATGTAGTTTCTTAGAAAGTATGAGATGCTATGGAGAAAAATAAAGCAGAGAAGGAGAGTTTGAAGGGCTCATGGAAAGATTGGTCTGCAACCTTAAATAGGGTGTTCAAGGAATGCCCGACTGAGCACATGATGGCTGAGCAAAGTCCTAAAGGAGATGAGCAACTGGGGCCAGCAATTTCCAGGAC